TTGCCCTTGACTTTTGGCGGGCGGGAAGAAAAAGGGAAGACATTCAGCTGAAGGACCTGGAACCCGTGCTGTCTGTCGGCGTCTTCAACAATAAACACAGTGAGTCTCCCAGGCTGAGGAGCCCCCTAGCCCTCCCTGCAGAGTCACCTCTTTCTTTAAACCTTCCACAAAGCCACCGAATCCGTGTGCCTCTGTCTTCACTGAAGTAGGGACATATTCTTCCAGCATTCTATAATAGAAGCCAGTTAGCAGGGGGTAACTGACAGTCCTTTTACCAGGCTTGTTGCACACTTGAGAAAAAGAGAATCTGGAGGGGTATAGGCATGAAGAATGCACTGTGGATCAGGATCAGAGTGGGCCCTGTAAGAGCAGTGAGCTTGGCTGTGTGACAGCGACAATGATGGGAAGACCCAGCTGTGTCTTGCTTTGCAGGTGGCCTGTGGCACAGCGGACTGATAGATAGGAACCTCATCGATTACTTTATCCCCTTCCTCCCCCTGGAGTACAGACATGTGAAGATGTGTGTACGGGCAGAGATGAGGGCCCGTGGTTCTGCCATAGATGAGGATGTTGTCACCAGAGTGGCAGAGGAAATGACATTTTTCCCCAAAAGCGAGAAAATCTACTCAGACAAGGGCTGCAAGACTGTGCAGTCACGGTTGGATTTTCACTGACCTCATTCAAGTGGAGTAAGAGGCCACTGGGAGCTGAGCGAGAGTCTTGCCTTATGGAAGCACTTTGGAGCCCTCTTTGGGGTTTGCACATTTGCACTTGTGGACTTTTGGGATGTAGAAGTTTCTAAGAGTTGAATTTTGAAAAGACACTAATCTATTGAGTGTTTTGGAGCTGACAGCAATCCGTCTGTTAACTGCGGTGGAAGATGAACTTTTAAAAACACATCCTCCCCCCACACACACACCTCCTTGCTGAGCTTGACGGGAAGTGCCTTGTAAACAAGCTGTGTGAGACCTAGAGCTGGTTCTGACCCCACAGTACCCACACCTCAGAAGCTGCTGCTCTAACTCAGGGAGTCAAGGGCCCTGCCGCAATCCGTGGAGCAGTTTGCATCTACTGAAAACCTTCTCTGTTTCTTTGCACAGAGAGTGTTCACTGGCTTGATGTATCTCAGTTGAAATCGGTGGCACCTTCAGGTGGACAGTGTCGGTGGGGATGTGGGCTGCACACAGAGCATTCTCGACCAGGTGACCTGTCTGCCTGTGCTGTGGGGTCTCCATCCGAGGTCTTTGCAGCAGGCCTGTCTGTTCTTTGCTCTGGCTGGTCCTGGAATTCCTCTGCCGACTCTCCCTTGGTTTTGATCTCAGCCTTCCTTGTACCACTTCTGAACTTCAGTCACTTCGAGATTTGCCCCCAACCACTTGTCATCATTAGAGTCAAATCAGAATGGGACTGTTGGTTTTGAATTTGAGTCTTGGTTCCCACGATGAATTGTCTATAATAATTTATGCCTGGGGCAATCTCTCACTTCAGAGAATCATTTGAAATCCATAGGACACACTCAGTCTCCATGGATGACATGTGCCACTGAGTGGTCAGCTTGCAGATTCTGCATTGCCAAAGAAGTGTAAGTATCGTACACCACAAATGCTGGAATTTTCAAGGATACGTTTGTTTTTTTATAATGTTTTTACTTGTGAATCTCAGATAATAGAAAAATACAGGACATAGCTTATTTTAAAACATGTGAAGGACATACACAAAAAAGGAATAATTGCCTATTCCTTTATCAGAAACTATTTAACAGAAACACTATACATTTTTATCGTTAAATGCGTGGTAATACCTGGTCACTGTTATAGATCGAACAAGGTCAGTGTGAAGCAGCGGGTCCTGGGTGTCCTCTGCTGAGAACACCCTTTATGGCAGTGGCAGGCTGGACTGCCCTGGTCACCAGAAATAAGATGGATTCCAGCCCGTGTGAATTGTTGTGTACGTGTGTCACAGCTGTGATGTGACCACAGAACAATGTGCAGTGTGTTTATATGTAAGATGTAGAAGGCACATCTTTATGACACAGGAGTGCCTCACAGAGGGTCACATTTAGTCTTTTAAAAATGCCAAGTTCAGGCTTAAAATTTTTAGAACGTGTTCTTACATTGGAGCCGGGTTACTTTCTTTCGTAACCCTGTGAGTATCTGGTCAGGCAAGACCAGGTTTTCCCTGTTCATAGTGACGCAATTCACCACGTGTGGGCCACCTTTGGACTTGTAACCTGTAACCCGAAGAGGTTAGGCTGACAGCCCAGCCTCCCTCACCCCATGTAAGAGGTAGACAAGAACTTGAATTGACCTACTGTAAAATAAAGCCTAAATTTTATCATGTGACACGTTCCTTGCAAACATTTTTTTTTCCTCTAGTTTATTTGGTAGCTCTGAAAAGTTTGAGCTTGGGTTAAAGGCTGTCAGGGTGTGGTGTGAGGCTCGCCACGGCCCGGATATGCTGGCAGGTAGTCTGTATGTCAGTATTTACCTTCAAGGCTGGTATCGCCAAACACAGTTATATTGGATTAGGTGATGGGTTCACCATATTTCCATGGATGAAAATGCCACATGGAGCTGGACTTCTTCCTAGTACGTTTTTTCTCCAAAGATTAACACAGGAAGGAAATTGAGGCAGTGGGAAAACATGACTTCCTGCTGACATTCTGAACCCAAGCAAGGCTGGGCTCAGACCAAAAAATTAGAACTGGTAAAGTGAAGTCCTAGTGAAGCTAACCAGGTATCAGTTTGGTCGCACTCCACCTGGCCTCTTACTTGTGAGTGAATCGTTAATACCAACCCTCTTTCCAGGCCTGAGGATGAGACAGCTACTTTCTAGAAAGTTCAAACCCTCTTCAACATCTCACCTCTTCCCCTCATTTGTCACTTGAAGGTGCTCAAGTCCTTAGAACTTTCCGGGTCTGCTTCCCAGCCTGGTGCAGTTTCTGCTCCACCCTGTACTGCCTCATCTACAAAGACTGAACTTGCTGAATTAAGTCAAGGGACTCCTGTGTTCCCTAACTAGGGGCTCTCAGGTGCTGGGGCTGCCTCTGAGAACGATTAGCCTCATCTGTGACTCCTGGGAACAGGCCAACAGGCCAACTTCTGCTCTGTATAAACCTTCCCACACTTGGGGCACCTGTGTGGCTCAGCCGGTTAAGCCTCTGCCTTCGGTTCGGGTCATGATCCTGGGGTCCTGGGATTGAGCCCCACATGGGGTTCCCTGCTCATCAGGGAGTCTGCTTCTTCCTCTCCATCTGACCCTCCTATCTTACGCCCTCGCCCTCTCAAATGAATAAATAAAAAAATCTTAAAAAAAAAAAAACCACCAACACTTGCAGCTGTCCTTAGGAGGCCTGGACGCCCTTAAAGATTAAGGAGGCTCTTTGCAGGCCAGGTACCACGAGGCAGAGGGGTCCTGTGGCAGCGGGGTGCCAGCTGGTCCTCGGCCTGCAGGCACACGTGTTACATACGGGTATGTGCAGCCTCCTAACAGTGCTCTGTACTCTGCCTGGCATCTCAGCTGGGATTATGTCTCTAGATTTGACTCCACAGCTGGGTGTCAAGAGTGCCATGAAGCCCAGTGCAGCGGAGTAAAGAGCAAGTAGGGATCCTCAGAGTCCCTGCACTAGACTTCACTCCAGCCTGCACTGCACCAGTTAGGTCTTACTTCATAGCTGAGGCACAGAAGATCTACACTGGAGGGCTTTTTTCTCCTTTAAAGGTGTATTCACAAATTACAATTTTATTGTAAAATAGTAGCTGTTTGAAGTTTTAAGTAAAAAACACTATTCTTGGCATCCTCGGGGTGGATGGGGGGCAGTTAAGCTTTTCTAAGAGGTTTTGGGGGTTCTCATTAAACAACAAAAACTAATGGGGCACCTGGGTGGCTCAGTTAAGTGTCTGCCTCTGGCTCAGGTCATGATCTCAGGGTCCTGGAATCAAGCCCTGTGTCAGGCTCCCTGCTCAGTGGGCAATCTGCCTCCCCTTCCCCGCCCCTTGCCCCCCACTTGTATTCTCGATGTCTCTCTCAAATAAAATATTTTTAGAAGGAAAAAGATCGAAAGAAAGAAAAGAAAAAAGAAAGAAAGGAAGGAAGGAAGAAAGAAAGAAAGAAAAGAAAGGAAAGAAAGAAAGATCCTGAGAGACATGATGAGAAGACAGAGAGAGGCAGAGACAGGCAGAGGTAGAAGCAAGCTCCATGTGGGACTTGATCCCAGGACCCCCGGGATCACGACCTGACCCAAAGGCAGCCACTCAACCACTGAACTACCCAAGTGTCCTAAATAAATAAAATCTTTAAAACAAAATAACAAAGGCTAATAATGAGTACAGTTTTTAAAAATATGGCAAAACTTGCCAGACAACACATGGCTCATTCAGGAATGGAAAGCAGAGAAGGGTCTTCCTTTGCAAAGCTGAATGACTGGCAGGTAAGTGACAAGCTGGAAAGATTTTTCTTTTTTCTTTTCTTTTTTAAGATTTTATTGATTTTATTTATTATTCATTATTTATTAATGAGAGACACAGGCAGAGGGAGAAGCAGGCTCCATGCAGGGAGCCTGACATGGGACTTGATCCCAGGTCGCCAGGATCAGGCCCTGGGCTGAAGGTGGCGCTAAACCACTGAGCCACCAGGACTGCCCAGAAAGACTTTTCTTTCAAGGAAACTGCTTCTAACAAATGTTCACAATGTTGCTAAGATCATTCCCATAGTTCACAATGTTACTGAGATTGGAACGTTGGAAAGGGGATTTAAGACTTATCTGTGACTTGCCTGAGTGTTCTCTTATACACTTGTCCTTTTATCTAAACACTTCCTTGCCCCTTGCTCGCGATGGTCATCCCATGACAGGTCTGCCACTGCTCCAGCCTTGGTCCCCGGTTATGCCATCTTAGGGACTACATGCCAAGGACCCAGGCTTGTGCTTTTTTGCAGTAAAGACAAAACATTAGACGATATGGTGACAGGAACTTAAAAAAACACACACAAAGCCAGCAATGTAGAGCCTGAAAAGTTTCTCATAATGTTAAAAACCATTTTAAATAAAGTTACCACATTTTCAATAAAACTTAGACGTCCTTCCTTGAAACAGAAACACTTGAGATTAAAACATGATTTTTAAAAAATCATGAGCCCTGGGCTGAGTGGATTGGGAGCTGCTTCCTCCTCTGAACACTCTTTCGAAGTCCACGATCTGTAGGGTAGGACACTGGCAAGGCTCTGCTGGATGAACACTGCCTGGGGCAATGCCTGTCCTGTCCCACAGGAAGCATTCACTTTAGTCCTCTTCCAGTGTATGGAGCTGGGGGAGATATGGGAAAAGAGCAGTGTTCCAACTTGAAGCAACTCCAGTGCCGTGTCAGTCATCGTAGTAGTAATCTAACTTGGTGAACACGGTTTTGCAGCCTTTGTCAGAGAAAACTCTCTCCTCTTTGGGGAAAAATGTCATCTCGTCGGCCACTTTGGTGACAATGTCCTCATCAATATCAAAGCCTCGGGACTGCATTTCAACTCTGATGCACATTTTTAGGTGTTTATATTCCAGGGGGAGGAAGGGAACAAAATAATCAATGAGATTTCGGTCAATTAGGCTGCTATGCCAGAAGCCACCTGGGAAAAAGAAAAAGGGGCTGTTCATCCATTGTCCACCTGCCCACCCATCCATCCCTCACACATCCACTAGGCGCCAGACCCGGAGGTGGGGCCCACGATCCAATGAGGCAGAAGTAACCTGGGACCTGTCCATGGGCACAATCAAGCTGTGATGCCTTCATGAGAGTAAAGCACAGGTGACGTGGCACCTTCCTTATGCCTCGGGCTCAGGGGAGGCTTCTTGGATGGACCTACAGATCTGAAGCGGGAGAGAGACAAACGAACCCAGGCTGCTGGGAACAAGCAGAGGCGGAGGGCAGTATGGAGGGGACCAGGTCTCCAGGCTGGCAGGGTTTCAGAGAAAGATCAAGGAGAAGGGAGTCCCCAGGGAGGGACTAGCCACTCCTTTACTTGGGGAACCCGGACTCAATGGACTTTTGGCAGCTGGATCAGCAACAGGGCAGAAACCGGCACCGCTGCCCGCACGTGCAAAACACAGCACATCCAAACCACATGGGGCATTGAGAGACCGAGAACTAGAACCCTCAGCACCATACTGTGTGAACACAGCACTCTGGTGCGGCCACAGGGTACAGACTTTGCTGCGTGTTTTCACTAGGGATGAGTGCTGGCTCTGTGCATCCACCCACTGACCCAGTCACATCCCCTCCTGGATTCCCGGGGGAACCCAGCACACGCTCCCTCCTGACAATAGCACACCTGCTGCTGGATCACACCCAGCACTTCCACACTTGGAACAGTTTCTGTTCTGCTTTGCCGCTTAACTCTGGTCTCACTCTGACACCAATTCTGACATGTGGAGGTTTTTTTTTTTTTTCCACACCTTCAAGCAATTCTCCAATACCAGCTGGGTGTGCTACAATTCAGTTCAGTAAAAGCCCATCACCCAGATGGAAGGACGGCAGCAAGATGGAAGAGATGCAGAGGGCAGGGAATGCAGAAAGGATGTGAAGCTTCTATGCCCCCTCCCTGGGGACCACTCTCCCCCACCCTCCATGCGTTCAATCTGGAAGCTCTCTGAACCTCCATTCTTTTGGATATTTATGGAAGCTTCGCTACATAGGCATGTCTGATCAAATCACTCATTGCCACTGGCGACTGATTCCACCTCCAGCCCCTGGCCTCTCCCCAGGGGTCACGGGATGGCGCTGAAAGTTCCACCCCTCCAGGTACAATGCTTGGTTCCCCTGGAAACCAGAGCATGCCCCTTAGATGCTTCCCCAAAGTCCTCTTATTTACACAAACTCAGGTTTGGTTAACAAGTTTGTTATAAATATCAAGACATCTTTATGGCTCTTGTTACTTAGGAAATTCTGAGTGTTTTAGGAGAATTGTACCAGAAATGGTGACAAAGAGCTAATACACATTTCTTCTTATAAATCACAACCAAAACATACTCTTTCCTTTCTTAGCAGTGCTTTGCATGGAACTGGTGCTCAATAAAGATCTCACTGCCTGGATGGGGTGGAGTATGGCCATGGGAAAGAACAAGGGGGACAGCTCATTTCCTGAAGGCCTGCTGTGTCAGGCAAGGCAAGCCCTACACCCTGGGGAGAGAGCACGGAGCCAGGCAGACATGGATGCTGCCCTCAGGGATTCACACCCTGATAAGCCGGTTCACAATTTCAGATAGTGACCGGGGCTGTGAGTACTGAATGGGGCGAGTGGGCAAGGAGGACAGGCTACTTGGCCAGGGTGGGCATCCAAGGCCCAGCTGAGAAGGTGACCTCCATGCAGAGCCTACACGGCCAGAACAGCACCACGGGAAGTGCTCTGGCAGGACAAGGATCTCAGTCTCTTAAGAAATCACCTATGGACGACCGCTCCCCAATCTGTACCCTTAGCTGAGCACCCCTGGGGAACCCCACTGAACAGCCAAACATCTACCCTGCATCTCTACAGGGGTGCCTCGCTCACCGTCCACAACTGTCTCCATCTCCCATCTGGCCCCAGAAACTTGCAATTCCATAGTCTGTCCCCTGAAATGGGGGACACCCTTTCCACTGAGCAAGCCGGATCCCTGATTCGGTGCTCTCTCATTACCACACCTATCCTTCAGGAAATGTGACTGCACCTTCTAAATGTTTCTCCTTTCAAAACGCATCCTCATCACACCATGTCGCCCGATCCCACTGCTGGCACAAGGGGCCAGGCCACCAGCATCTCTCCTCTACACTGTCAGACAGCTCCTGCCTGTGTCCCTGCCTCTGCTGCCTTCAGTCTGTTCACTTAAAACCAAGCCTGGTCATGTCACTGTTTGCTCAAAACACTCTAGGGGCTCCCTCCTCCATTGGGAGTCAAACTCAAAGCCTCTCAATGGCTCTCTGGGCCTTCCATGACCAGTACTGACAGTGCAAGTCTCACCTCTTATCTGACCCCCTCTTCTCCTTTGTTCCTCCTGGACCCCCACAGGAATCCGGGCATACCTACACCTCAGGGCCCTGCATGTGCTGTTCCCTCTGATGGAATGCTGTTCCCTGTGGTATCCACATGGCTCATCCACCCTCATCCTTGGATCAGCTCAAAAGTCACCCTCACAGTGAGCCATTCCTGACCACTCTATTTAAAACTGTAGCCCATCCTCAGTCCAGCACCCTCAAGCCCTCTTTATTGACTTATTTTTTACCTATTGGGGGTGGAGAGGAAAACATATCTCTATCTCTACATAGATACACATATCCCATCATCCGACCCACTTCCTTCCTTATTTATTACCATTAGGATATAAACTTGAGGATAAGGATTTGCTTTTGTTCACTGCGATGTCCCCAGCTAGACTAGTACCTGTTACCTAGTAGGTGCTCAATAAACATCTGTAGAATGAATGAATGAATGAGTTCAGCCATCTGCCTGAGGCCACAATCAGAAATGGCCAGGTCGGTCAATTCTGAAGCTTATTCTCTGGAACCCTTTGTAACCTCCCAGCACATGGGTTCTAGGCAACTGGCCTCATCTTGCTGCAGCATTTAGGCTAAGGTTTCTAGTGCATGTATTCATACTGCTTGCATGCCAGGAAACCATCCAACAGGTTACAAAATATCCTGGCTTTCATAGTAAATACTCCAGCTACACAAACAGATACAAAACACTCCATACTGGGCAGCCTGGGTGGCTCAGCGGTTTAGCGCTGTCTTCGGCCCAGGGCCTGATCCTGGGGACCCGGGTTCGAGTCCCACATCGGGCTCCCTGCATGGAGCCTGCTTCTCCCTCTGCCTGTGTCTCTCTCTGCCATTCTCTCTCTCTGTCTCTCTCATGAATAAATAAATAAAATATACAAAAAAAAAAACCCCACCCCATACTGTTCACGTATTTCTGCAATAACACAAATTCCTTATTTCAAAGGAGAATTTTTGTTTTCTAAGCTCATGAAGTAAACTAAACAAAGCAGACTTTAATGGTAACAACCCGCATGGCTCCCAGGTAACCTGGTGAATCATTCTGCATTGTGGAGTCTTCCTCCCTCTAAGGGTTCAAGGTCAAAGGTGTGGGAGTTCACTGGGAAAACCAGGAGTTTGGCAGTGAAAAGCTCAGGCTCTGGGATCAAAGTCACCAAACAGGCTGGGTGGCCTAGGGCAAGTGGCTCCCTCTGGGCCTCAGTTTCCTTGGGGACAGTGACAGTTTCTACCCCACAAAGTTATTGTGGAGATCAGAGGATATCTTCAGGTAGAACGTTCTACATGGTGTCCAGTAGACACCCACTGCTTGGCTGTTATTCTTGTGCACAGAACCTCAGTTCCTGGGCAACACAGAAAAGAAAGGGACCTGAGAGGTCCTCTCTTTTGGAGGCACAACTACAGCAGCCCTTCTTTGCTCAGCTGCCTGCTTTTCTTCCACAAAGAAATAGGATATAGCTAAAGAAAACAAGGAACTAGTTTTTAAGACCTTGGTAATCAAGAATGTCCCTCTTTCTTTAGAACAGCACTTTCCAAACTTTAGGGTATATAAAAGCCACTTGGAGCTTAACACAAATTCTTCCAAGAAATTCTGCCTCAGTAGGTCTGAAGAAGGGACTGAGAAGTGGCATTTCTAGCCAGCTCCCGGGCCACGGTGATGCCAATGATCTACAGCTTAGTGACAGAGAGTCATGAATGAGAGAGGTTAGTAAAAGCGGGCACTTACTGTTCTTGTTATTGAAGGCCGACACCGACAAGGCCGGCTCCATGTCTTTGAGCCGGATCTCTTCCCTCTGCTTTCCACTCCTCCAGAAATCCAAAGCCACGTCTGTGATCCTTTCTGCTCCAGCATTGCTGCAACAGAATGCCAGTGAGTGAGGACTGGGCTTCGTTCCGAAGCCCACGGAGTTGGGCTCAGGGTTCTTCAATCATGTCCCGGCCCGGACCTTACCTGAGAAATATGAAGATGGCTTTCTGGTAGGAAACCCCATCCACATGATCATAATAGTCTAGGAAAGGTTTGATGGCATCTATGAGGCCGGCATGCATCTTGTCCATCTCATCGAATATGAAGATGGATCTGGCACAGGCGCTCACGTTGCTACGTATCCATAATTGTAACTGGTCCTTGAGTGACAAAGGGGAAAAGCCAACACAAAGTTCTCAGTACAATGGAAACAACTGGTATAAGCGTCAACGCTACAACTGTTTCCACAATGGCCATGTTTACGGAAGGCTCACTGTGTGCTCAGCACTGTACTAAGAACTTTACACACACAAGCTCCTTGGTTCCTCACAACTCCATGCTGCGCATGTTATCATACCCATTTTATAGATAAGGAGACTGAGGTACAGAGCTTCATCATCTTGCCCAAGATTACAAAATTAGTACGTGGTAGAGCTGGGATCTGAACCCTGCCCTGCCTGACTCCAAAGCCCCACGTTGATTAGAATTCCTGTGCTGTGCAGATATCATAGTGATGCCGTGTCACTGAATTGCTGGTCCTTCTCATTAAAATGGCGATGTTGATACATATCCTTTGTGCACACCAGGCTTCTTCAGTCCCAAGATGACACAACTGGCAGGTGGGAGAGTTAGGACTCACAACCAGGTGTGTCTGCCACCAAAGTCTATTAATCAGTGAGTTAAATCGTAAAAGCAGTTTGTAACACTTCAGCTAAACAACCTTAGGCCTTTCTAGAAATGTGTCCTCTTTTACACACTGAGTGAAATGTGATGTTCCTTAGGTTGGACGTAATGACATCCACCTCTAACCCCACTTACTGAACTGAGAATCATACCGGGCTGTTTTCAGCAACCACCGCAGAGCCTGGATGGTATAACCGCCCCATACATGTCAAACCCTCCTAACTTCCACACCTTTCAAAGGGGAACCCACACGTGTAGACGTCTTCAGGGCTCACTCATTCTTTTTTTTTTTTTTTTTTTTTAAGATTTGTTTATTTATTCAGAGAGAGCGAGAGAGAGGCAGAGACACAGGCAGAGGGAGAAGCAGGCTCCATGCAGGAAGTCCAACGTGGGACTCCATTCTGGGTCTCCAGGACCACACCCGGAGCTGCAGGCGGCGCTAAACCACTGTGCCACCGGGGCTGCCCAGGGCTCACTCATTCTAACTCGCAATCCCCAAATCCTACCCCACAACAAAGAAACCCTCAACCCTGCATCATCCAGGAAGGATTCCAAAATTCTGCTCTTGCCTTATACAGGGTGATGTTGGAGGCATGTGGAAAGTGCAGCGTGGCCACAAACAGGTGGACATAGTCACTGTTCAGACCTCCCTCGTAAATATTCTCCGCGATGATCTTGCTGACAAAATTTTTGCCCGTGCCCGTCCACCCGTGCAGAGAAAGGGTGAGAGGTTTCTTCGGCTTCGGGTTGCTTATGAAGCCAGACACAGCATTTAAGATGACTTTCTTTGCGAGATGCTGTCCAAAGAGCTTGCTGTCCAGATCCTTCTGCAGCGCTGGGAAAACCAAAGCTAGTCAGCGAGGGGGTGTCTGTGTGTCTGGCGCGAGCTAGCCGAGGGCGTACAGGCGCGTGGGGCAGCCGGCAAGGCCGGCGAAGCTGCTGGAGCACCCGGCGAGCCGCGGGGGGCGGGGGGGCTGGAGGCCGCGCCCCGCCCCGCCCCGCCCCGCCTCGCAGGAGAGGGCTGGCTGCGGCCGCCGCCCGCGCCGCCGGGACACTTCCCACCACCCCTCCCGCCCCAGCTGGGAAGAAGCGAAACTCGCGGCGGAGGAGGCGGCCCGGCCCGCAGCCCGCCTGCTCGGGTCTCCGACCAACGCTGGCCCGTCCCCAGTCGTGGCCGGGAGCCGCTCCGGCTGCGGCCCCCGATCGCCTGGCCCGGCCCGGCCCGGCCCCTGCCCCTGCCCCTGCCCCGCCGGCCGCCCGCCCGTCCTACCCTCCCGGCTGAGGCTCCGCTTCTGGCCGCAGCACTCCGTGAAGAGGCAGTAGAGGCGCGGGTAGATGTAGCCGGTGAGGACGCCGGCCAGGGCCAGTCCCAGGCTGATGGGCTCCACCGCCCGCACCGCCAACGGCGCCAGCAGCAGCAGGCCCAGCACGGCCCGGCCCAGCTTCATGCCCGGACCCGCGCCGCCCCGCGCGTTCTGGCGCTGCCGCGGACGGGCGCTACCGCCAGACCGCGCTTCCGGTTCCTCCCCGACGCGGCCGCCATCTTTGTGCGGGGCGGGCCTCCTCGCGTCGCCATCTTTGCGCGGGGTGGGGCGGAGCCCTCTCCCGCTTCCGGGAGGCGAGCACCTGAGCGCCGGAGGCCGCGGGGGTGGGGGCGGCCCTATTTTAAAAGTAAGCCTATTTTCTGGGAACAATTTTAGATATATGGAAAAGTTGAGAAGACAGTACAGTGAGGTATGCCCTCCCACGTAATTTCTCTTATTAACATACTAGCATGTTATATTCATTTAAAATAACCTACATTGATACAACTAAAATTTGTTCATTTTTCCTTAAGTTTTTACCTGATGTCCTGTATCTGAGCTAGGATCCCATCCACGATACCACATTATATTTCGTTCTCATGTCTCCTTAGGCTCCTCCTTGGCTGAGACTTTCTCAAACTCTCCTTGGTTTTGATGACCTTGACAGTTTTGGGGGAGTGCTGGTCAAATTTTTTGTAGGATACCCCGCTGTTGGGATGGGATGTTTTTCTCATTATTAGACTGAGGATAGCAGCGTTGGGGAGGAACATTCTAGATGTGGGTACGGTGCTGTTTTCATGACATGATATGAATGATACAGCAACATGATTTATGACTATTACTGACCTTCACCACCTCGATGAGGTCGTGTTCCTCAGATTTCTCCAGAAAAATTACTTACACTCATTCACTCAGTCAGGGTTTTGAAGACTCCCCATGTGTCGGGTTATGGACTAGACTTTGGGGATTTAAGAAAATGAGGTAGATGTGATTCCTGCCTTCACTGACCATTCATTCTAATGGAGGAAAAAATACAAAAATAAAATAGTCTCCATTTTACAGATGAGAAAACAAGCTCAGAGGGAAAGAGATCTGTCCAAGGGCAAAATAGGCTGTGAGCAGGGCTCAGCTCAGACTCCAAGCCGAAGTCTCTAACCACAACATCCACTCTAAAAATCAGCCCAAAGGTCAACCAAACTGGCTCTTTTCTCATCTCAACTTGTATAAGTGCTCAGGTAAATGAAAGCACAGGGGGCACTGCCCCCAACAGCCAGCTGATTGGAGCCTGCCGAGGTCTTTTAAACTCAAAGAGAAAATCTCTCAGTAAACAAATTTTGCTTTTGAGCTACCAACCCCCACCTCCAGGCTCACAACACATTACCTAGTGTCAGTATAAGGAGACACAATACAAACAAGAAGGATTCATTTCATATTTAATACTTAAGTCCTAAAAATGATAGAAACTGTTTCTCTTTCTTAGTGAAAACAGGTGACTGTAAAAGTCAATAAATATCAGTGTCCCTTTGATCCCATCCTAGATTTTCCTGCTGTCAGGTGGATCCATCATAAACAGTGAAGGCTGTATCTCTGAACTCCAGGTATTTTAAAGTAGAAGACACGATTGCATATATAATAATTAGCAGCACAACCTAAAGAGTTTATCTCACTCTGAACAGCTGTTTCCTCCAGACTCAGGGCCAATATTAAGAGAAAGTCAACATATTTACAAACAAGATTTAATAATGCTCACAAGAATAGAATTTGCCTCCAAATAAGGAAACTACACATTGTTTCAAAAGGTTATAAATGCAGTGCCTGAAAAATCCAGCATGTAAGCAGCAGGACTAAGAGTCTGTTTTTGGAATGGTCTGCTAGCAAATAGAACAGAAGCAAACTTCTGTTCAAGAAGCATTTCGTCAAGGGAATATGGGAGGGACAACACTATTTACATCCCAGTCTGCAACTTCTCCCTTCTCCCACCCTTAGTACCGTCTGTTCATCTTCTTGAACTTCTCATAGTGATAGTCGTCAGTGGCCTTCTCATTAGCAGGACGCTTGCGGTTAGGAGGGGATCCTGCAAAGGAAGAGGAAAAGCTGTTTGCCGTGTTGGAAGCCACTGATGGGTTTCAGCTCTGCTTAGGCTAGGACCAAGCCTGTCTCATTCCCCACAGGAGCCCCAGTGCCTACCTTGGTAAATAGGAACCTGGTAGGGCCTCAGTAAATACTTGTTATTGAGTGAATGAAAATTAACATAGGGTGGAGTCAAGTGACAGTATGGTGGCATATGCAGATGTCAGCAGCAGACTAAGTGGCCAGACAGTCGGTGTTTCACTGCAGTGAGAGTCTGGCTATGTACAAGGCCTGGTGCTTAACACTTTCAGATACGACTTCTTTTAACCTTCACAGCAATTCGAACAGGGGCATGTTGCCATCACTGTCCAGAGTGACTTCCTCAGGGTCGCTCAGAAAGCAAAAGTAGGTTGAGAGTTGAACCCAAGTCTGGTGACACCAAAGTCCTTGCTTACTATGTGTGAATAACACAAAACTCTGGCAATCAAAGACTATGCAACCAAGATGGTACAGAAAATAATTTCCCAAGTAGGAGGGAAAGGAAAACAATAGCCTGCTCAGCTTTTCCTTAGAATCATCCCCCCTCCTCCCACTGGTGCTGGTTAGCAAGAGGGAAGGGGACACAGCTGGATGTTGCTAGTGGGGGAACAAATCACCCCACTTCTAGAGGAGCATTTGGTGACTTCTTGGCCTGGAGCCTAAGGACATGATATAGGCAAAAACAGTGTTTAAAAGGGAAAGATGAAAAAAAAAAATAAAAGGGAAAGATGAGAAACAACCTAAGTGTCTAGCCAGAGGGAACTACAGTATATCCCTACAGTAGAACATGAGATGGCCACTCAACAGTAAAATATCTATCTACTGTCATAGAGAGACATGCAGGGCACACTACTGAGTAAAAATCTATGAGATCCTATTGTATGTATACAGTATATGTTTCTATACACGTTTTTTTAAAGTCTGGAAGGTTATACATAAAAATGTTAGCAGCGCATATCTTTGGGTGAAACTGTAACTTTTAATTTATTTTTGCTCATTGAAATGTCCTAATTTTTAAATTCTCTATTATATTTGATAGCCTAGTGAATCCTTGGAGCAACCCCAAATGTGTGGTTTTATTACTATCCCCATTTACAGATGAGTAAACCGAGACCTGGAAAGGGGAAGGCACATGGCCATGGTCCAGAGCATTGAGTGGAACCCAGGTGCCCTGGCTCTACCCCAGCCAAAGTCCACCCTGCCTCCACGGGCCCCAATGACTGCTCCAGGCAGCTCTTAGGCCTCTGATACACTCACGCTCAGGCTCTGGCTTCTCGGTGTCACCCACTCTCAAGGGTCGGGCTTTGGGCTCATCTTTGTTTCTCCGTATGGGGGCATTGAGCTCCTCATGATAAACTGGATCAAAAGAGACCAGGGAATGTGTCAGACAAAGTATGGGAACGAGGGGACCTCACACCAATGTGGCAGGGCTACTTCCCCAGAGCTTACATCGGTTGTGCTGCACATAATTCACGGCCATGTTGGTGGGCACGAAAGATGTCTCACTGTCTTTCTTCTTGTTCTGCTGCTCTGCCAGCAGACGGGCCTTGGCATCCTCCGTGGAAATGATATTTTTTATTTTAGCACTGTGGGGAAAAAGGAGCCACATGTGTTATTGCCTTACCTTTGGTCCTCAGACAGAATTAATGGTCAGGCTAGAAGCCCACCAGTGCATAAGGAGATCCACTTTCTTGGAGCACAGTGCTCTACAGTTTACCAAAGCTAGAAGTCCAGAAAAGAGGAGGGAATCTAGATGTCTTCCAACTTCCTACAGCACCCAAAGAGGATTCTGACCATCGTATTTCTTCCATAACAATCCTGTGTTAGAGCAGAGGTTTTGCAAAAAATAAAAAGGAGGATCATGGGGTAGGTAAGCCTTCAACATTGCTCCTGCTAGAATAAAAGAGAGGAATACAAGGGTCTGAATAGAACTGAAGAGCTGTGAACAAAGAATAAAAGCAAACACTTGTATACAAATATCGAATCATTATGTTGTATACCTGAAACCAATATAATGCTACTGTATCTCAAGAAACAAAACAGCACACTTTTGCTTTCAGGAGACTGTCCCTTAAGTCTCATAACACCAACTAATCTTCCAGAGACACTGTGGGCACAAACATCTCAGCCTGCCAGAGAAAATATAGTTGTTATTTGTGAGTTTCCAAGGAGACAGTCCCCTTAACTGGAAAGCAGAGTGCTCTTCAGTGGGCTAGGGGCAGGAGAGAGGCCAGACCAGGGGTCTGAAACGTACTCGATGCCCAGGTCCACCTCGGGGATGCCGCTCAGCATCTGGTTGGAAAGCATCTCTTCGGTCTTCTTTGCTGAGGAAACACGGATGTTTTCTGGAAGTTCGTAGAGACAGTCCTCTGCATTCTTCGGCTTGACTTTCTGTTCTTCATGTTCCACAATCCCTTTCCTCTTTTTCAGCTCTGTCTCAATGTACTTCATCCTGAAATGAGAAAGCCACAGGCTTCAGGGAGAGGCAGGACATTCACAAAACATGTCTTTGAAATTAGTGGTCCCCAACACTGGCCCACAGGGCAGTGATGGTCCATGAAGTTTTCATCAGTTCATGGAAAAATGAGATACAGAAAAATAACTTGAATTTTTTCATCAAATTTTTTTCAACTTAAAGCACTAATCTCTATTATGACATTATGCCCTTCCAATCTATTGATGTTAATAGATGTAAGGCTCATTGAAGACAGAATGGTAATGGTAGATGTAGTCATTTGTTTAAGTCTTGTTAACCAAAAAGTGGGCAAGTACGATGTTTCTTCCTACAATGTTCAGGAAAATAGTACTAGTCAAGGAATCTAAAATCCCAAGAACCACCCTTTTAAAGAATTTTTAGGGGGATGCCTGGGTGGCTCAGCGGTTAAGCATCTGCCTTCGGCTCAGGTCGTGATCCTAGAGTCCTGGGATCGAGTCCCACATCAGGCTCCCTGCATGGAGCCTGCTTCTCCCTCTGCCTGTGTCTCTCTGCCTCTCTCTCTCTTTCTGTCTCTCATGAAGAAATAAATAAAAAATCTTTAAAAAAAAAATGAATTTTTAGGAAAGCCTAAGTGGGGTGACGGGCCAACTTTGCTGCCTTTGGATAATTCTGGATAATGTCATCTGTGACTAAATATCTTGGACTCTATCTGGCTAGAGTCAACCCCTAATCACTCACAGCAAACTGATACCCACATGTCGGCATCCTCATCCCTTCTGTTGGTTTCTGCGGAAAATGACGTCCCCAGGTGGAGGTCTTCCTCTTCACTGATCCTAAAAGGAGAAGCAATGAAGCAGTCTTAAAGTCATAACTCAGTGAGGCCAAATTTGATATTATACAAGCAAAACGTGCTCAAAAAAGTACTTATGGTTGGGGAAAAAAGTGCTTATGGTTGGGAAAAAATATATACATGATATGTAAGTAGAAGAAACAGAAGAAAGCAAAACTGTTGGCCTCTGGAGATTTCTCTGGGGAATGAGTAGATACTTTTATTTCTTACTTTTCTATTTTTATAATTGTGTTTTTATGTTCTTTTTAGGACATAAAAAAAAAACAAACTTCTACATGGATTTGAAACACACTAAACAATGCACCTTTATGAATGGAGAGTATCTGTAGCACACTAAGCTAACTTTTCAAGAGTTTTTGCTTTTGGGGTGCCAGCAGGGCTCAGCTGGTTGAACACTGAACTCTTGATTTCGGCTCAGGTCCAGATCTCAGGGTTGTGGGATCAAGCCCCCCCGCTGGGCTGCATGCTCAGCAGAGTCTTCTGGAGATTCTCTCCCTCCCTCTCCCTCTGCCCCTCCGCCAGCGCATGTGTGTTCACACACACACTCTCTAAAATAAATAAAATCTTAAAAAAAAAAAGTTTCTGCTTTCATCTGTTTTTAAGCTACATACCCTTTACAAAGCACAAAGGAAACTTCAGGATGTCTCACTAAAGCTGCTGTTGCAGGCCCCAGCTCTTTGGAGTCACACAGACCCAGGCAGGGCCTATAGGTTAATGTGTATCTCAGTGATGCCTGCACTTACTTATCTTTGCCTCTTTCCTTCAGTTTCTTCATGTCCACCATACCACCTGTCTTCATCTGAAAGGGATCATCCTGCAGAAAGCAAACACAATTAAAAGGAAGCATCTATATAATTGGCAGTAGCCTTCTTTTTTAAAAAACACAACCACCCACTGGAGAACAGCCACAGCTTCCCATTACCCAGGGAGGACCCCACAACTTACCACTAGGGTGGTCTCTTCTTGTACCTTCTCTCCTACCAGCAGGGCCACAGCACTGAGCAAAAACAAAAAAGGAAAAGTGAGAGAGAGTGAGAGTGAGAGAGAAATGGCACAACCGAGATATGAGAAAAAACACTTAGGAAGTTTGTGCGTTTGCAACATTAGAGCAAAGGCAAGATCTGAGGAGTGGGCCTCAAAGCCAGATAGGAAACCCTACAAGCATGAAACGGAGTTCAGGGAGCACTGGGTTGGGGGCGGGTAGGGTGAAGTGGTACACTCTCTTACAAGGCCATTTGACATCATCTTGGCATGGAAACCTCATTTCTAAGATTAGCCTTTGGGCAAAATGAAGCTGAAGGCAGATGTAGAAAAATACCTATTGCACCCTTATTTGGTGATCATTTACGTTTTGGCCCCTACTAAGTAGGATATTAACTGACAAATTATGGCACATGCACGTGGCAGAATACTATGCTGCCCCTAAAAAGTTTTTTTGGAAAAATAACCCACATGCCTGAAATGTGAAAATGAGTTGCAAACAGCATAGAAGGAAAGCACTCACAATCTCTACAAAAGAGACAAAACAGATTGGCCAGAACATTGAATGCTAACACTGGTTACCTGTGGATGGGAGAAGTATGGGTGCCGATTATTTTTCTGATTACACTTTTCTAAATTTTCCAAACTTCTAACAGTAAATGTGCATTTCACAGTCGGGTCCAAGAAAAACATGAGTTAATATATCGGGTGCAATAAAACCACGAGTTAATAACCCGTTTCTGCACCTCTGGAGCAAACCTCAAGTCCACACAGCTGAGACCATCTCCTGATTAAACATCTTTAAACAACGCTGCACTCCTTTCAGGGCAGTGGACGCCCTACAGTGTGTCAAGAGAAGGAGCTCTGAGGTCATCGTGACGGCGACCCAGGCGGGGGCGTATCCCTGCCACCACCGCCGCCTGCCGCCGCCGCCGCCGCCTCCTCCTCCTCCTTCTCCTCCTCCTCCGGGTCCCCTCGTGGTACCCACCTCACCCCGTTGGGCCTCTTCCTCAAGTTTTGCACCTCGCGAGTCTCTTCCAGTTTTAATCTGAAAAAAGGCAACGCACAGACTTAGAGACCCTCCGCGGAGCCCAGACTTAAAAGGCAGCTTCGACGGGTGCCCGGCCCAGATGCTGAACGGCCGGCACAAGGGTCCAGGAGACGACCCCGCGCTTAGAACCACTGGGTGTCAGACCTGCTGTGCATCCTGGGGACGCCTCTCCCAACTGTGCGGCCTTGCGGCGGGGGCCTCAAACCTAGGAGCCTCAGTTTTTTTGTCTGCAGAAAGGGACAACAATCTCGGCTCACAAAGAGGCGCCTCGCGGGTGAGGAGTCCCACAGTCGGTTCCCTCTCTTCTTGCCCCTTGAAAGCCCCATCCCAAACGCACCGAACCTCCTCTGAGTCCTGCTCATCTTCCTCCGACTCCGAGTCGGCCCGGCGCCGGCGGAAACTCTTGCCGGTGACCGGCATGGTAGCGCCGGCCCCGCGGTCCCGCCGCCGCGCCCCAGTTCCCCGGCCGGGGCTGCTTCCGGCGCGTAGCAGTGCGGTCAGAGCGCAGAGAGCCTGGCGCCGGCCCCGCCTGGCCCCGCCCCACGCTCGTCTGGCCCCGCCCCCGGCCCACACTGCCCGCCGGCCCCGCCCCCAGCCGTGGCGTCCGCCTCTCCCGATTGGGCGGCCGAGGGGGAGGAGGCGGGGCGCGGTCAGCGGGTCCCAGGACCCTGCGCCTTGCGGCTGTGGGTGCGCTTAACTGACAGGCGGCGGCGGCGCGGTTGCGACAGCAGGTGAGTTCCGGGCCGCAGCCGGCTGCCTCGGGGGGCCGGGCCTCTCCCGGCAGGGGCTCCCCCAGCCTGGCTGCGGGCCGGATGGGGCCTGGCCCTGCCAGGTGCGCAGGACGCCGCTGCCAGGTGAGCGGAGCCCGGGACCCCCGGCCGCTGCCGCCCTCTCCCCTCCTCCGGCGGCGCCGGGGGGTGCCCTCGGGGCCCCGGAGCCCCACTTGCAACCCTGGGGGGCTCGTTGCTGCTCCGGAACTGGGGGCCGCCATCTCTTTTATTTCTGCGGCGCCTGACCCAGCACGAGTTGAAAGCACGAGTGCGGCGTCTTGGGGCGCTGACTTATTCCCCCAGGGTCTGGGCCTTGACGTGCATTTTTTTTTCTTTAGGGATAAAAGATGACCACCTCTTAGCAATGGTAAATTAAGGTCCTGGCGCCGACTGCCCCGCTAGTGGGGCCTCCAGCCGCTTCATCCCTGCGTCCGAGGTTTTGAACCTACTCCGGAGGGTTTGAGGGCAGAGAGAGGGCCCTTTGTCGTGTGTTTGCCGGCCGCCTCCCCGGACCGTCAGGGGCCTTGTTTTCGTCCTTTGTCACGACGACTGTCGCCCTGCCCTCCGCCTTTCCACCCCGAGGATGCTGTGAGGATGACGTTAATTTGAAAAGAAACAGGCAAACAGGCATCAACGAACCGCTTAGGAAATAACTAGATGTATCGATGATGGCTTACAGGACTTTTAGAAACCTCTTAAATAGTTTTCCTTTTCTCAGTGTAGGCCGGTCCTTTACTTTGAAAGCACTGCCTCTTACTAAGCACTGCTGTGTGGCAGGCACCGGGCTAAGCATCGTCTCTGTGAACTCCCGCAATCCTGTGAAGTAGATCGAGTTATTTCTCATTTCGCAAGCGAGGAGACTTTGGCTCAGAAAGGCAATAGGTGCCTAAGGTTACACAGCTCGAAGGTGGAACAGGGATCAGTGGCAGGCCCACCTCTGCTGCAGGTTATGCACGGTAGAAGCTCAGTAAATGTTTGCTGTAGCTGTTGTGATTGTTGGTTGGGGGGAGGCGCTGATGGAGACCGTACCGTTTTGGTTTCCTCTTCTGGAAGACCATTCAGAAGCAGGGCGGCACTTCTGGAATGCCTTCCTTTTCTCTGGAACAGTCTCTCGAGATTGCTGCTCTTTTCTTGGACCGAGACAGATGGACTCAGGACTTCTTGGAACAGCTTTTTGGCTTTGGTCAAAAGCCATATATTAAAATCTCAAAGTCTTGCCTTCTGCAGTCTGGTTCAGCGAACCCCAGATGCACCTGGGAATCACTGGACACCCTGTCCCTGCTGGCTGAAGGGGAGGCTCCCTGGGCACTGCTGCGGGAACCCAGGGAGTTCCATGTCTGCAGACGTCACGCTTTTCAGAGGTGGCTCTGATTTTGCCCACCCAGCAACCCTCCTACTGGGAGGTATTGGACAGCACTAAGGAGAGGGCCAGAAGGCCAAGGACATTTCTGGACCCCTCTTCTCTTCTGACATCCCAGGGAGGAGCACCTGGTACCAATGAGCTGTCCCTGCTTGGCAGGGCCAGAGTGCCCTGTGCTACTCACCACCTGGGTTGTGGCAGGTCTGAGATCTGTTTAGCAAAAGCAGTGCTTGGAAAGTGGCAGTTGTGAATCTGGCAGTGGGTGGCTGGGCAAAGGGGCTGCAGACTCTTTAAGTGTTGCTGGGCCTTTTTGGGGGGTGAGATGAAAGTGCTCTCAGAGGGAGCCTCCAGGAAATTTGGGTTCTCTTTAGAGATGTGTCATGTTTTAGTTTTGACAGTCGTGGTTTAAGGAAATGTATGGGTTTGGCTTATTTTGGGTTGGTTTGCTAGCTCCTTTCTGGAGTCAGACTTGTTTCAGGGTTCAGTGAACATTAATGTCTAGGTAGATTTGGGATGAAGCAAAGCCATTGCAGTTCACAGCCTGGCTGCAGTAAGTGTTCAATAAAATTTTGTTGGACTAATTTATTTATTCAGGTATTTCCTGAGCTTTTACTATATGAAGCAGGCACTGTTCTAGGTGCTTGAAGTATGCCAGGGAACAAAAGAGATGAAAGATCCCCGATCTAGTGGACTTTAGGTTGTTGTTGTTGTTTAAGATTTTATTTATTTGAGAGAGAGAAAATGAGAGCATGAGGAAGGAGGGGATAATGGGGAGGAGTAGAGGAAGAGGGACAAGAGGACTCCACACTGAGGGTGGGGCTCTCTATCCCACGACCCTGAGATCATGACCTGAGCAGAAATCAAGAGTCAGATGCCCAACCATCTGAGCCACCCAGGCACCATGGACGTTAGGTTCTAATAACATAAGTATGTAAAGTATATTAGCGGGTGATGATTGGTATGGAAATAGAGTGAGGTGAGAGAATCACGAATAGGAGGTGGGACCGAATTGCAAATTTAAATTGATATGTTCTCATTTGTGGTTAGGTTGGTAACATGATATAACAGTAGAGTGAATTCTAGGTCCTGACTCTCAGTTCAAGCCCCAGCTCTGCCAATTTACCATGTGACTCTGGGCATGACCCTTCCCTTCTCTGAGCCTCTTTCCCCACTGGAGTCCCTGTTCTGCCATTTACTGTCTATGAGACTTTTGGCATGAACCCCTCTGTGCCTCTCCTGCTTTGCGGTTTCAGGGTTTTTCAGTCTATATTTCTGCTTTTACTTGAGCACTCCAGGGTTTGTGGCTTCTCAGTGGCCGGGACCAGTCACTGCTTCCAGCCTACTAACCCCCCAAAACTGCCAGCCTGAGGTGGCCCCAAACCCATGCCCTCTCCAGTGAACTGACTCTTCTTCCAGAGCCTGGAACAAGTTGTAGTGCCAGGCTTCAGAGGTGTTCTCCTTGACTTCAGGAGTTTAAGTTGAGAAGAAAAGTGCTTTGTGAATCATGACTCAGAAATGGCTCCTGTGAAGGAGGCCAGAGGAAGCTGCCCTTGGGGGTGTTTGCCTGGGAGGAAGTAAAGATCGTCCCCACTCCAGGCTGGCTGGTGCTGTTTGGGAGAATGTGGAGCTGACAGTTCAGAACACTGACTTCAGGGAGGGCAGTCCTGGGTTCAAATTCTGGATCAGCAGCTCAGTAGCTGTGTGACCTCCAGCCAGTTACCCCACCTCTCTGACCCTCAGCCTCTCCTCCTTTAGTGATGGAGGTGGAGATGGATTGAGCACCCGGTGTTGCCTGCCCTCCAGGACAGCGGTAAGGATTCAGTGAGTGCAGTGAGTGCCGTTAGTATCAGTTTCACTGCATGGGGCCATTCTAGGCAGGGGCGAGGTGAGTAAGGCAAATGAGAACGGAGGTGTGGGGGAAGCAAGACTTGTCAAGGCCACTCCCAAGGCAGTGGGTTCTGCTTGGGAGTCAGGAGGATGTTGAACTCTAGAGAATTAGGACTGGGTTGATGGAAGGGATGTATTTGGGCTTTAGGGGAAATGGAGTTGCTTGGAAATAGGAGAGAGAGAAGAGGGCAGGAGGAAGGAAAAGGGATCATACTCTGAGGGTCTGAGGGGTATGGGCAGGTGTGTGGAGTGTGAGATGGCTGGTATGATAAGGATCAGGGCAGGTGGGTGTCCCCGTGTTGACAGGGGCTTGGCAGCATCCCATCTCCCGTCCTAAGGAACTGGGCTCCCAGCTGGGAGGAGGAGGTAGCCAGAACTGCCAGGAAAACGATGAGTAATGGGCACCCTAGGCCTGGTCTGAGTGGCTGGTGCAGGCCCAGAGGTGCTGCCTGTCTGCCTGGCTGGAGCACTTCCCCCCTTCCTTGCTGCAGGCTCCCCCTCATGCTGAACCCTCTCGGAAGCCTCACTGGGGCCTGAAATGGGTGGTCTCTGTGCCAGACCTGCCAGGGCCTCTTTCCTGCAGCTTTCTCTGCCCCAGGAGAGGAGGCCAAGCGTTCAGAGCAAGTTGCTGAACGCAGGGCTAGCTGTCTCATTGCCTCCTTCAGTTAGGGTCAACCCTGGGGCTAACGTATGTGAAAGCAGCCGGCATGGGGTATGAGCGCAGGAAAAGGTGGCTGCCACTAGTAACGATCACATCCCCAGTGGCTGCAAACAGCTACCCTGGTGTTGAAATACAGGCCTATGTGCCCATGAGGGCAGGGCCCAAACCTGGCATGTGTCCCATTACCCCAAGCCAAGCCAGTTGGGTACCAAGATAAAACGAAGTGAAAGCTTCTAGGCAGCAGAGATAAATGCAACACAGGCCTGTAGACCAGGTGCTTCTGACGTTTCAGGTGCTGTGTGCAGAACAGTGAACACCCACGGTTTACGGTACTGCCACTCAGCTTTTCCCTCCATACACACTGATGTTTTTAACCATCAGCTCTGAAAAAAAAATGTTAATCAACGTCAAACTTTTCTTTTTTTTTAAAAAAAAATTTATTTATTTATTCATGAGAGGGAGAGAGAGAGGCAGAGATACAGACAGAGGGAGAAGCAGGCTCTATGCAGGGAGCCTGATGCGGAACTTGATCCCAGGACCCCAGGATCACGCCCTGGGCCAAAGGCAGGTGCTAAACCACTGAGCCACCTAGGGATCCCAACTTCAAACTTTTCTGTTGGGCATGCTCCTTGGTAGGCAGATAAATTTAGATAGTGGATCTAGGAGGAATTTTGTCAATATGTATCCAGAGCCTTCAGAACATACATTTTGACCCAGTAATTTTTCCTGGGTCAAAGATGTAGTCAAAGATTTATATCCCAAAATATTTCTCACTGCCTTATTTATAATCGTAACACACACACACACACACACACACACACACACAAAT